CGTAGGTGTTTTTGAGTAGAAAAAGCACTTTTAAACGCCCAACACAAGAAGTCCCATGATTTTCAATAGCCCTTGTTCACACCTGAGCAGCAAAACGCAAGCAGCAAAACACAAAATGCAGAAAAAAGTATATGAGCATTTTGTTTGGCAGGTTCAAGCTCGTTTTTTCCCCATAGACTTCAATGGAAATGCCAGGAAACATGCGGTAGAAGCATGTTGTATGTTTTCACTGGTGTAAAAATGTGCCAAACGCGCATAAACATGCAAAAACCGTGCGCTGAACCGGTGTGTACAAAAATGCAAAAACGATGCCGCCTTGGTGTGAACAAGGTCTCAGAGAAGAGTTTATCGCAGTACACAGAGTCCTCTGTGCAAAAAAAGTGTAAACATATCTGGTTTGATGGCTTCCTCAGCTAACATTGGCACAAAGAAGGAAGGAACCCAGTCTTTCTTACATATTGGCAAGAGGAAGCAGGTTGTGAGCAAACCGCTGGTAAGAAACTTACAAGCATTTGATCCAAAGAGAAAGGACAAAATGTAAAAGAAACATTAATTTGTGTGTGTCCTTACACCTCGAACATGCAGGGAAATCAAGATGGCCGTTCCTGGGTATGATCACTATCCTCCCTTGGGTATGTGGTAGCTAAGTATGTCTGAACTAGGAAAAGAAGCTGAGTTGCTGTAATATAATGCAGACTGTCAGTGCTTTTGAGGGGATCAGTTTGGCTCTACTGCTAATAATCTGATTGTACAATGTCTGTACAAAACTATGTAACCCTGGGGATTCTATAACAATGCCCTGCTTTTCCTTTAGATCCAAAATATTTTTTTTTAATTTTCTAAGGAACCCATTTTAAATATTGATGTTAAATATTGTTAAAGCAAGCTTGTGGGCAAACTAGTGAGCTACTTGCCACATTGGTCCCTGGTCCGTGGAGCAAATTGCCCCCGAGACCCAAAACGGAGCAGTCCCATATGCCTGCTTGCATCTCCATATCATCAGCAAAGCAACGCAGGACCTTCAGAATTCTATTATTCAAACAGTGACTAGAGCATCTGTAGTGAATCTCTGGTCTGCCTGCCCCAACCTTCATGCTTTCTATCATCCAGCAAGCCTGTGCATTGCATTTGGTGGCCACTGTGGCAGGAAGTGGGCCAAACCTCTGAAGAAGCTGTTGTCACTTAATGGCACAGTAGTGTGTCCTCAGTTTTGAAGATAAACCAAGGACTCAAGCAGGTATCTGAAGGTGCCTGTTATGGACCCAAGACCAGTAGTTATTACAGCATTTTGTTACAAGAGTGTTTCAGCAGGCTCCATGTCGTCTTTAAGTAGTTAAACATTTAATCTCATATTAACTTGAATTCTGCTGATCCTTTATGACTTACATCACCATTTAGTACCGCTTATTCTAAACTTGTCAATTTTCCCGCATAAGCAGTTGTGCACTTTGTCATTTCATCCTTTACTGACATCTCCATTTACATCGCAATCCATTCTAATTGTGACAGCTATCATTATCACTGCTACCAGTAATCCATATCCAGAACGGAAAAATCTATACCTATTGTTGTATCTAGAACTAGGCAGGACAGGCAGGACTATATTTAGACATGCTTCCCTAGGCACACATGAACGGTGATGTCCATTTCTACAAGCTCCACCCTTTTGTTGCTTGATAGTTTTGCTTTTTTTTTTTCTTGACGATAAACTTGAAGTACATATGTCTTTTTTTTTTTCCAAAGTATAAAGGAATGCAGTATTGATACTAAAGTGGCATAGTGTCTACGCCATGGAGAAAGCTAGCTGAGGAGACCACCATTCAGCTGGAGAGTCTTGTGACTTCTTTTAGTAGTCTCTACATGATAAATTAACATACACATGTCTGGAGTGTATTATGTGCTTTCGGGTTGCCCTTGTAGACCCATAATAAGAGATAAAATATGAAACAAACATAAAAAAGATATATGTGATGAAAACAAGAATAAAAGATATGTATAATATTTATATTCTTACTTTCATATTTTATAACTGATATTAAATGATGCTTCTTTTTATACTACGTTTTAATATTATGCAGCAGTTCTTTTTATTTCTTCTTGATTTTCCTTAGAAGGTGTGTGTGTGTGTGTGTTATTTTATTAGCTTTGTAGACCTGATGAAAGGGTGCAACACTCTCAAAACATGTTGGTTACCTATTTTTTAAAATAAAATCAAGTTCTGACACCACTCCATGAACTTGTCCTTTGTTGGGTCTAGTGCTTTTTACGCCTCCTCTTTGACTATGCAGCTTCATCGAACACTTTTCTCGCTCCTTGAAGTGACCTTGCAGCCTTCAAGCCTTCCAGTGTAAGATAGTGCACCTGCTCTGTGTAGAATCTGGGTTTGAAATAATTTGTTTGCAGCTAGGTTTCAGGGTCAGGGTCAGATTTTAGTCTTTTGTCACATTGTTCCTGTTGTGCACCCTCCCTCTAATGTTGCAGCATAGATAAGGAGGCAGTTGGCACAGACAGGGCCGGCCTTTGGGGTGTGCGAGCTGTGCGGCCGCACAGGGCGCCATGGCAACAAGGGCGCCAGGCGGAACGGAGGATCGGGTAAATATCTGTGACATTTACCGATCCTCTGTGTATGCGGAACAAACACTGGAGTGATCGTCTGACCACTCCAATGTTTTTAAATAACTGGGGACACAGTAGTATGTGTTCCCAGTTATGAATTCATTTCTCAATGGGGAGAAGCACTCACTACAGAGGCTCCTCCCCATTTATAAACAGGTGATAGTAAATATGTTACCATCATCAGTTTCTGAATGAATGGGAAGCCTCTCTGCTGAGTGCTCTCCATTCATTGAGTGCTGAGGCTGCAGAAAAAGAAATGGAGGACTTTGTGTCTTCAATTTCTTTTCTATTTAAAAAGGGAAATGTCAGGGGTCTGTATAGACCCCCAATATTTCCCCGAAACCCCCCCAACAGTAAAAAATAATAATAAAAAATGTAAAAAATTATTTTAAAAAAGTGAAAATGACCCCCCAACATACACATATTATTAGACATGTGCAAAGACTAAAAATTCATTTCAGATTAAATGAACAAAAACTAAATACGTTTTCATTTGTTTCATCAAACAAAACACATTGTTATGCTATTTTGGATTCAGCCACGGCGTGTTCTGGAGGCAGGGCACATGACGTCATATAACACTGCACGTGTTGGGCGCCACCATCTTGGTGTATATCTAGGTATACACCAAGATGGCAGCGCCTATATCGGCGTGTGACGTCACCTGACGCCACGCACGCATGGCATCATGTGACATCATGCTCCGCGCCTCAAAGATGGTGGCATGTATTCGCAGAATTTTTCGTATATTCGGACATATAGTAATTCACTCATTTAGACGTAGTCTGGGTTTTGTGTTCTGTGTTCTATTTTTACTTTTCTAGATGCACTTACTTGAAGAAAGGGATCGGCATGACAACCTGACACTTTATTTTTATAGACTCTATTTTAATTTGACATTTATTGTTTACCTCTGGTTTGCCTTCTGTTGTTTTATTTAAAAAGAATATTTATATTGTGCTTACAAGTTTAATACCTTTGAATAAAAGGTATTTTTATCATACTTTTTAATATGTTTCTTTGGGGCTTAACAAAATAGGAGTCTTTAAATGGTGCGGATATTGGGGGAAAATGGGTGTGGCCACTGAGTGGTGTGGTTACTGAGGGGTGTGGTCACTGAGGGGCGCTGTAGAGCTTTCTCGCACAGGGCACCTAAAGGCTTAAGGCCGGTACTGGGCACAGAGAAAGGGTAGTACTGGAACCATGAAATTATTGGTTTGCAATTTTGGATAATAGTAGCCATAGATCATTAGTTAGAGTCTATCGAAAGTCTAAAGATGAGCACTAAACACCACTATCCTCTGAGTCAGTTTAAAAAGGAGCTCCAAGCAAATGAAAATCATCTGTTAGTCCAACTACATATTCAAGAACAGCACAAGTATTTTACATATTGTCAGTATATGTACGTAAAATCTGTCTTCTTAGAAGCTCTCATTATCCTCTGGCACCATTGGTAGAGCTTACACCATGGATCAATCACTATTGCTGTAGCAAGTGGTTGTGTGAAGAAGGCAACTCACAGGTGGCAGAAAGGATAGAGAGTAACTCTTTGATATAAAGATGTACATTCTTAAAGCATATCTAAACCCCAAAATATATTATATTACAGCTTACCAATCTTTAGATGTGGTGTCTGCATTCCTTTTCCCTTTTGTACTTGATAACCCTTCAAATAAAACACTTCCTGCCCCTTGGTGGCAGGAAGTGTTTTATTCCGCTGTACACTCTTCCGCTGTAGCTGTGGAAGGAGCCATGGTTGCCTCCCATGGTGGACTTTAAATATGCCTGCCTTAGCCTGCAAAAGGAAAACTAATGCAGACACACCGTCTAAGGACTGGTAAGCTGAAACATAAATACATTTTTGGGTTTAGTCACATTTAATACAGTCAGCAGCCTGGAGGCAAGGAGATGGTACAGACGTCTGCAGAGCTACAAACTCTGAATAGTGGTGTCAACTACTGGCCAATATAATAACAACAAACCAGTTCTTCTAAATTGGCATTGGTGTTTAGTTGCCTAATCAGTATAGTTACAAATAGTTATCAGTGGCTTTTTCTTTTAAACCGAGAACACATCAAATAATAAAATAGCTGGTGGCCTGTTGCAACAAACACTGATGCTTTTTTATTTATGGAAAGCTGCTTGCAAAATGTGCAGACTGTCGCCAATGCCATGTGGTATATAGCCAATGACAAACAAATCTGTAGTTGACTATGTTCAGAACACAGCTTTTCATTCATTCCTACCAAAATGATAATATTACTTATTAATCTTATTCTTAGTAAGTAAACAGCAGGCAGACACTTTGTTGCAGAAAGGGTAACTTAATAATACTGTGGAAAATTAAATATGGAATAAAAGACTTTCCCTGTTATCTGTTGTAGATTGACAGAACTGAAACAAGTGTCAACAACCTGAACCCCGTATTTTCAAAGAAGTTTACCACAAACTACCACTTTGAAGAGGTCCAGAAGTTAAAGTTTGCCATTTTTGACCAGGACAAGTCCAGCACACAGCTGTATGAACATGACTTTTTGGGAGAGTATGTATGTACGCTTGGATCGGTAAGTTCTATATGTGGATAGGGCTTTGTTAGTTAGAACCAGTATCTGAATTTAAAATAGTAAAGGTGAGTTATGTAAGAATTGTGTCATGTTCTTGTGATATGGCAAGAACAGCCATTCCCTTCACAAGCCTGGCACCATTTCATCGAGCAACCTGCTGGAAAGAGTCACACAATCTTAATCTTAGACCAAAAATCCTCCTAAGGGCTCACATCAATGGGCATTCTTGTCAAATGCACCTCTATAGGACATGCTGCATCCAAAGAAATGCAGCACCACACAAAGCAAGTTAAACACAGCCTCTGAACTGCCATGTGTACTGCTCAATTAAAGCCAATGGGATTTTGCTGACCTGGGTTTTCCGTGCGTTCCATATTTACGCCAAATGCAGGAAAACAAGGCCCGTCTATGTGAGCCCTAAAAAGATTTTTAAAAATAATATTTTATAACGTCTTTTGTTTGTAAAGCAAGGCATATTATTTCATATGCTTGTCTTTTATTTTTAAACCAGGGCGTAATATTTCATATTATTTAGTGATGGCCAGCTTTCATAATCTTCTTTTTAGAAGTAGCACTGGTGTATTATTTAAGGCTTTACCCTTTTCTTTCTGGTTTCAGAGTTAACAATTTTTATATGCTTAAGGATATGTTTACAATTGTAAATAATGTACATTGTGGGGAATTTATCAAAACAAATACGACAGTTTTTAACTCTTAGATCATATTTTCTATATGCAAATCTGTCTTTTTTTTTTTTTTTTTAATTCTTTATTTTTTTATTTTTGAGCAAACAATTTACAGTAAACATATAACACACATACATTTGATTAAAGGTGCCGTACAGGTATAAACATAACCCTATTGTGCACCTGTTTTGACCAGAGCTGGCACTACTTTTACAATTGCATGTTTTTTGCACCTGTTTTCATCTGCACTTGTTCTGCGGCTGTCTGAAACTGAAGCATCACCTAACAAAACAATCACAACTTAAGAAGTCCCCATGACCACTACTTCAAGAAGCGACACTTAAGCATTTTGCCTGGAGTTACAAGTCTTCTTTCCTAGAATCTATTAAACCTCATTTATGAACAACATTACACTAGCATCATAAATCTGGAGCAAAGTGCATCAAATATTTTCCATGCAAGTTCAAACACTCACAATTGCTTTTTATAAATTCCCCCCATTATGTTGCATTCAATCACTGAGTTTGTGGTTTATATTATATTATAATACTGTTTAAACAATAGGTTGAGAGCATCTGCATCATTGTAGAGAGCCAATCATTTGGATGCAGCTGTCTGTTGCCAGGGGAAAAAATTATTTTTTGTGGACATAAGAAATTTTCTTAGTTTTAGATAGAATAGAGAAGGGCTTTGTCAGCTTTTATTGCTGCTTGCGAATTCTCTGGGAAGATGTCCTCTTAGTTTACTAGGAGAAGCAATGAAGGGAATAGGGGTCACCGGGTCAGGAAGACAGCAGCAACAATATAAACCTTATACATGACTGGGCTGAAAGTTTGTGGATACTTGATAATTATACATACAACAACATGGCAAAAAGTATGTAGGCACCTCTCCAAATCGAGTTTGGGTGTTTCCAGTAAAGGGTTAATACTGCAGCATACAAAGACATTTTAGGCAATTGTGTGCTTCCAAACTTGGGGGAAAAGGGCGTGGGAATGTACAAACATGACTGTGTCCCGTGCACAAAGCCAGGTCCATAAAGACATGGTTTGATGGGATTGGTGTGGAAGAATCTGAGTGGCCTGCACAGAGCCGTGTGCTCAACCCTACTGAGCAGACTGAATCAAAAGAAGTCAAGTCTTGACCTCACAGGGATACTTGACCTCACATATACTCGTTTGGCTGTATGGGTACAAAATTCTACAAACACACTCCGCATAAAAAAAAGATGGCAGGTTCCAATCTTCCTCCACTCTAGCCAAATGTAAATATAAAAAATATAAAGAGGTTTTGGCTGGAGTTGGGCTTTAGGGCCGGTTCACACCACAAAGTCCGCGTTTCCAGTGCGTTCGGCCTCTGAAACGCACTGGAACACAAGCCGGCCGGCTCCCTGGGGCAGGAGGGGGCGTGGCGTTGCATTGAAGTCAATGGCACAGCAGCCACCCCCACCCCCGCCTGCAGTGCGATCGCCCGCACCTGGAACGCAGGACCATTAGTGCCTGTACTGGAACGCAGGCACATTAGTGCCTGTACCGGAACGCAGGCGCTCACTGCCGTTCGGCCCCTATGTGAATAGGGGTGAACGGCAATGAGTGAGCTGCCGTAGCTTCGGCTCAGCCGATACAGATGTTGAATCGGCTGAGTTGAAGTCCTTCCGAAGTGCAGCCGATGTACGGCTGAAATCAGCTGTACTGAGCTGTAGTGAATAACCAAACGTTGTTGGCTCACTTCACTTTGGCTGGGTTATTCACTAGGCTGCCTTCAGAAGCTTCGGGAATAACCCCCATAATAGTGTTGAATTGTTCTGCAGCCCAAGATAAGAACTGATAAGGTTAATTAGACTCCTTGAGACAACAAAGGAAGTGCGCACAGGACACAGAATAGCTCAGAGCTTCTGACATGATCAAAGGTTTTGCACTAATTGAAAAAATATAACAAAATGCTTTAAATTATATATTTAACAGACTAAGATGTAGCAAATAAGTTTATTGTCAGGGTTTGCATACACTTTGTTTTGCACTCTGTATGTAGTTTCAGATTTAGGCTACTGTATGTTCACACAACAGCTTTACATCTAATGTATCTTCCTTTATGTTGTTAAAAAAAAGTCAAGTGAGACTTGTACAGGAAATAACAGTTATCTGGGCAAGGAAAGATCTTTTGTGTATATGGTGCTATTTTCATTTACATTAGATACAGTAACAGTTCTCATGCTTGGACTAAAGTGTGTTTTCAGTTATGCATATAAGACTTAATTCACAAAGCTTTAACGTATATTTCCACTTTTGCAGCCAACTTAGAGTAACACCTACTTTATGTTTGTTACATGTCCCCATACATGTAGCATAACTGTAATTTTAAAATCTCTCTGGACTCAGCTAAAAATAATCGTCACTTTTTTTAAAACAAGTGTGCTTATGCTGTTGTGTTGGCATTGTATATTGAGCCTACAGACTGTGGGGTCTTTTCACGAAGCTGCCGAAGGATCTGGCCGTAGCTTCGGCCAATCCTTCAGCTAGCTTCGACCCCAGGACCCCTTCGGTTCAGTAGAACCGAAGGGGTGCTGTACGGGCTATCCACAATAGCCCGTACAGCTCCCGATCATGGCCGAGCGGCTCAGCCGAGCCGAACGCATATGCATCGACTCGGCAGAGCCATGCTGAAAGCTGAAGCTGGCAGAGCGGCCGGCAGCCTGCTTCTGACAGCTGGGCGGAGCCAGCCGTTATCTTATGGCTGGCTCCGGCCACTTTCAGAGAGATCAGCGTCCCTGGATACCTGCTAACCAGGAACACTGATCTCCAAACAGCTAACTCTCCCTGGCGGCCCCGGAGTCTCCTGCTCCCGGCCGCCAAGGAGAGAAACACTGCTGTGTCTTTTTTTCTTTATTCTGACATGAGCGATGTCAGAATAGAAAAGGGAAAAAAAAAAGAATTTTCCCATTGAAAAGCATTGGGACTTTACTATTGGCTATTTCAATTTGCAATAGCCAATAGTAAACTAGCATTGTACCCGCCCTATGCTGCAGTTCCCCATCAGGTCCATCAGCAGAGGGCAGGTACAATGCTAGTTTACTATTGTTGTTGTGGAGTTGTGTTATACAGGTCTTCTTTAAAGAAGAAAGTTTTTTCTTAACCCTTGCAGTGGGGCTACCCCCACACTGCAAGGGTTAACTGCTCATTTTTTTCCTAGATGCTAAATCAACAACATTATACTCACCAGAAGTTCCGAGCCGGCCATCTGTCATAGCGCTCTCTCCAGCCCGTCTCCTCTTCCACTGCAGCAATATAATTTTCCTCAGTGTCCTCCCGTCTATACACTGTGTATGGACATAATGATTTATGGGACCTTAGACCACTGCAGAGGAGGGGAAGAGAAGCACTTTGGACCAGTCAAAGAATGAGCTGGCTCAGAGCTTTGGGTGTGTACAACTTTTTCTTCTTTAATTTTTTACAAAATTTAGTATTACCTTTTTCATTGTTTGCATTCTCGTTCCTGTATTAAAGGAGAATTATGAGGTGAGTGATTTTCACTCAGCCTCATAATCTGAGCCGACCTGTGACAATGAAACTGTCACAGGTCGGCTCAGTAGATCGGGAAGTGAGCGAACACATACCGTCGCTCACTCACTTCTCGATCTATCCCTGCAGAGAGTCTGTCACTCACGGCTCCCTGCAGGGATTTTCCCCCTCCCCGCTCCAATACTCCAGCATGTACAGGCGAAACGGACGGGGGAGGGGGCGGGCACAGCTGGCTCTGCTTCTGGATAGGCAGGGCCAGCTGTCAATCCCGCAGCTGGGTGGATCCAGACAGTATTGTCGGGATCCGTCCTGGCTGCGGCGTCTCAGTATACCGCGAGCTGTAGCTCCCAGTATACTGAGCTTTGGGTCACAGGAGGACGCTAGTTTGTGTCCTCCCGTGACCCTTAGGAGAACTATAGGGAAAAGCCCTGACCCCATAGTTCTCCTTTAACACTGCAGCGTATAGCACTTTTGATCCTCCTGGTTCCATATTCCTTTAAATTTGTCGTCAGGGCAAAGCAATTGTCTGATTTTCATAAATCTGATTAAAAACACCAGCATTATTGCAGAACAATATTGTAATAAAACTGCAAACTGGCCAACGCTTTTGAATTTCTAATCCTGTTTTTTGTGACAGGATAAAAGGGTGTGCGCACATTATTCATGCTGCACAGATTATTAGCTGTTAGGACACCTGAGGTTATCTGACAGTCTTTTGTGTGATTTTTATATACGGTAACTCAACATCTTTTATTCCTAAATAACTAAATGGCTTATTATTTTTGTTAAACGGGCCCATTTTCTCTGAATAGTACTGCTAAACCCGTCATTTAGAAAATCATTCTAATGCCATGCATGTATACTATGGAGTGTAGCGTGTGACATGCAAGACAGTGACACCACATCCTGCACTGGAATCTCTTAAAATATCTGACATTTAAATCTGGCAAATAGCGTTTTTTTTGTGTGTGTGTGTTTCATCTTTATACTTTTTTTCAGATCGTTTCAAGCAAGAAGATAACACGACCCTTGATTTTAGGAAATGGGAAGCCAGCGGGAAAGGGAGCCATAACGGTAAAGAGGTTTCTTTTTCTGTACTGCGTGTGTCATTTTAAAAGCTGTTTGAACTTCATACTGAGATAATCGCTTGATTATTCCACCGGTAGCAATCATTCTGTTTCTAGTAAAAGCCGAAGACGTGCATCATGGCAACAATAACCTAGCAACGAGATAACAGAGCATCAGGATAACAATATGCCGTGTGTTCCTCTATGTATGAGACAGGCTCAAAACTTCAGCAGTTCTTTTATTCATTCTGCAACTTTGTAAACAAAGTGAACGATGTTTGTTGCAGTGTAAAAATATTAATAATGTGTTTCCTGAAGGCAGAATGAGTCTGGGTTTCATAATGATAGCCATACACACATCAGGAAAAAAAAAAAATCAAAGATTATTTCAGGCAGTCTGCCATTCAAATACCATCGTTTGTGGAAACAAAAAATAAGATCAGTTTTGTCCCATTTCATTATTTGCCACAAAACAAATAATAGAATCAATATTGTCAGATCTTATTATTTGCCGGGACTGATCATTACCTACCTTTTAATATAATTAATTTCTGAAAGATACCATTCTGTCATCTGAATAATTATTTAATAGCATGATCACATTGTTATGTGTATGGCCAGCATGATATTGCAGTTTTCTGGCTTATTTAAAAGAAAGAGGCGTTCTAGCTTGATGGATTATATTACGGTAGTTGTCATGAAATCCTGATTTATATTATCTACAGTACATTGTATTAGAATATACCTTATATATCTGGGCCCATGCTTGCATATGTCCTAATAAATCTATATATTATGTATTGCTATCAATGAGATAATTGCTTCTTAAAGAAGGGCAACATTTTTATTAACCCTTGCAGTGGGGCTACCTCCCACACTGCAAGTGTTAACTGCTTGTTTTGTTCTAGTGAGGAAAATAACAAAATTATACTCACCCGATTCTCCGAGCCGGCTGTGACAGCACCCCCTCTAGTCTGCCTCCTGCTACGTTCCATAGATGGTGTGTCCCTTGGTGTCCTCACGTCCTATACACTGTGAAGGGAATTGATCAAAACTGGAGCAGAGGAAATCTGGAGCAGCTGTGCATGGCAACCAATCAGCCTCTCTCTTTTATTTTCAATACTTAACTGAACAAACTGAAGAAAGAAGCTGATTGGTTGCCATGCACGGCTGCTCCAGATTTTGTCTGCTCCAGTTTTGATAAACCCCCCACTATATATAACATGATGATTTACAGGACCTTAGACCACTGTAGTGGAGGGGGAGTTAGGTTGGAAGGAGTTCTTTTTTAAATTCCACTTTTTAGAGAATTTATTTGCACGGAGGCTACATAAATCTCACCAACTAACTTCTTAAAACATTTAAACACAATACACATGTAAATATTATTAAAAATATTATAAAATAATATTAAAATATATAAAATAAATATAAATATTAAAAATTATTATTATTATGGGGCAGCACTGTGGCACAGTGCCGTAGTGGTGGGCAGCAAAGTAGCGTAGTGGTTAGTGCTTCTGCCTTGCAGCACTGGGGGTCCATGGTTCGTATCCTGGCCAGGTCACTATCTGCAAAGAAGTTTGCATGTTCTCCCTGTGCTTGCATGAGTTTCCTCCAGGTATTCCGGTTTCCTCCCACACTCCAAAGACATGCTGGTAGGTTAATTGGCTCCTGTCTAAATTGGCCCTGTATGTGAGATGAGGACCTCAGAATGTAAGCTTCTTGAGGGCAGGGACTGATGTGAATGTGCAACTATGTAAAGCGCTGCGTAAATTGTCAGCACTGTATAAAATACCTGTAATAACAATATACATTTGTAAGTTTCCCTCATTTATAGAGCTCTAGTATTCCAATATACATTTGTAAGTTTCCCTCATTTATAGAGCTCTAGTATTCCACAGTTTTGTACAGTGCAGAACGTGTGACTCACATCAGTTCCTACTCTGGAAGGTAGAGTCATTCAAAAACACACACACACACAAAGAATCGCGCGCACACACACGCACATACATATAATCACAAACCTGCACACACATACTTATAATCTCACATAAATTTATAATCATGTGTGTGTGTATGATAGAAAAAAACAAAACATTAAAACAAATTGCACGTAAAGTGCAGAAGAATCATGTATTTTAAATACTTTTTTTTGGCTTTAGTCCTCTTTTGTGTCAAAGGAGTACATCTTCTAATGTCCTGTGACCCAAACTCAGCATATAGCGGGTTATTGGCTGCTATTTGTTGACAGCACAAAGCCATGCTGCAGCTGGGAAACTTTCTGACAATATTGTTGGGATCCACCCCTCTGCCTGATTGACAGCTGGCTCTGCCTCTCTAGAGCCAGAGCCAGCTGTGGTCTAACCCATCCCTGGTTAGAATCCCTGCGGGAGCAATGGCTGACAGTCACCACTTTCTGCCAGTAGAAGCCCGTAAGCTGAGCTATCAGCAGTTTGCCATCACTCAGTTCTCAATCTATAGAGGATGCATGTGACAGCTGCAGTGTCACATGCCGGTTCTAAGTTTTGGGAAGAGTACATTTTACTCTTCTAATACTTTTTTTAATACTTACTTTAACCTCTTGCCGTCCGCCCGTAGTAGAAAAACGGACGGACGGCACTGCTGCATTGGCGGGTTGCCGTCGCCAGACGGCATTTTTTTTCTTTTTTCTGCTCGCGCGCGCCCCCTAGCGGGCACGCACGGGCAGAAAAGACCCGTCCAATGCGAACACCCGGTACCGGGTGTTTCACATATAGGCGATCAGCGGGTCCATAGCCCGCCGATCGCCTATATGTGCTTGTTTGCGTCCACGACCCCCCCACCCCCATCGGGGGGCCGCCGCCGCCGGTTTTTTTTTTGTCCCCCCCTGACCCCTCACCTTGAATCCCGGGATCCGCTGCCCCATCTGCGGCCCGGGATCGGCTCGGAGGGCGTCAAAAATATTGGGATTAATTTCTATAAACAAAGTTGAATTCACTTGCAATGTGCCTTTGAAATTGCTAGGGAATTCAATCATTTCTGCCCCACATAGTCCTCTTCTCTTTTAGGAGCGTCTAATTACTATCTTTGCTGGCCTGGCACCTCTGCCCTTCCCCTAACCTCCCTACATAAACTTTTATGAAGCAGCTTTAGGAGGTGCAAAGGAAAATAGAGCAGAGGTAGGTAACCAAGACTCTGACAGCTGCTCCCAGAGTCAAAGGTGTTATGGGATTTGTAGTTTCACCACAGCTGGAGTGCCAAGGTTGCCCACCCCTGCTATAGAGTATCATTTGAGTAACAGCTATGAGTCTGCTGGGAATGCTAAAGGCATATCCAAGATGGTGGCGCCCAGCAGAAGTCTCGGGGCTTCTAAATATCTGAACATCGGTTGTTTTTACAGGAAAATAACATGTATAAATTATGGTAACTGTACATATAATTATCTGGAAAGATGGTTGTGAAAATGAATGCTCAGGTTCTCTTTAATTATTATTAATTATTATTATTATTATTTACTTAATACAGTTTATTAGGTCTGCAGCTGTTTAGAAAGGGGAGCAATTCTATAAAAAATGATCAGTACTTTATATTCTCTGTTTATTTCACTCTTCAAGTGTCTAATTTTGTACCTGACTCTCGGATCTAATTTAGTCCAAAGCAGTAAATAGATTTGAAGGCATTTTTTATTTACTGATGTTTTAATATGGGTATAATCAACTTTTTCAAACGACAACAGTTGCTGTTATTGCTTGGTGTTAATTCTTTTTCAACAGCTTTAAAATTAGGTTTTGCTTATGTTAATTTTTTGGTTATTTTTCTCCAGATTATTGCCCAGGAGTTGTCCGATAACAGAGTGATAACACTCTCCATGGCTGGGAGGAAGTTGGATAAGAAGGTGACACTCCATCTTGTTAACACGTTGCAGTTAATTAATGTTTGGATGTCCCGCGGATACTTATTGTTATGCAATTAATAATGGCCTCTTGACAGCAGAAAATCATCAGTATGTGTAATCTCTGTCTATATTGTTTTCTAATCTGTGAAAATTTTGAACTGTATCTTAACAGGACCTGTTTGGAAAATCTGATCCATTTTTAGAATTCTACAAACAAGGAGATGACGGGAAGTGGATGCTGGTTCACAGGACAGAGGTGAATTTATATTAGTTCATAGGGATTATAGGTGGCCCATCATCTCCCTATAATTCTTTGTACCTCTAAGGTAGACTAGCAAAAACAAAACTGTACGAGAATCCCCTATTATATAAAGCTACAACATAGGTTAGCAATCCCAGTCTATTTTGTGAGCATTTTTGTAGGTTTATAATTCAAGAGACACTATACCATATATGTTGATGTTTTTTTAAAATCTAAAATGCTTATGTACCTTCGTAAAGTTCCTTTTTTTCTCTTGGTTTTTCTGTGAGCCCTGATGGTTTTCGAAACATGGGAGTCCAAGACTCTTGATGGCCAACATTCATGTTAGCATTGTGGTATCATGACATCACTTCAGATGTCACAATTTTACTGATTTGGCCAAGTGCTGGGGAGGTAATGAGTTCTTGAGTTTTTATAGCTGGGGTTTTTTAGACGCCATAATCTGGTTGCAATAACACAACTGCCAAGTGTATAAACCAAGGGGACACCACAGCATAGTCAGTCAGCTGTGATTTAAAGTGTGTGCTAGACTCCTCTGGCGGAAAGCCCACCTGTATTCTCTGTGGGAGGTAAGGGACCCTGGAAGAATACACTGGCTATAGTAAAGCATATCTCTAGCTAAAACTTTTTTTTTTTGCTTTGGATAGTAGGAAATTATCAGAATTACTTTTTTTTTCCATTGTCCATGTGCCAATGGAGAGATTTCCTTTCACTTCCTTTCCCAGAGCCGCAACAGTACATGAAAGAAAATACCTAAAAAGTGAGGGGAAATGCTCTTTTAGACAGTTATCAGCAGGACAGGTGATACCACTGGGTGATTTCCCCCTTCTTCTCCTGTTCTGATGACAGCCATAAAGTATTGGATTTTCCCTCGCTTTGTGAGGCTAGGCAAATAATAGGCATCTGTACTATTGAATCTTGGTGCCCTTTGTGTATTTATTTCAAATATGTGAGATTATCCAGCATGAAACAACTCCTTCACTGAGCTGGAACGTCCTGTAATAAGCTCTTGCTCCTTGTGCAGGGTGACTGGTCCTGTCTTCGCCCCCTCCTGTAGTTCTCTGGAGGCAGCCTGTAGTAGGTGGACCTGCTGGGTCCCTCCCACAGCTCTGCTCTCTGCACAGGCTAGGTACAGCATGGTGATGATGTCACTTTACCAAGGAAATGTCTGGATTTCAAAAGGTATTTAGTGTACACAAAGTGGATTTATAGCCTTAGTAGCTATTAAACCCTTGAGGACCAACCTTCAGATGCTTGTCTTTCAGTTAAGGACAAAAGCAATTTTTGCTATGTGTGTGTTCACCCAAAAATGTTATCTTTCTCTTTTATTGGACCAACACATATTATATATACCATTTTTTAAAGGACAAAAAGAGCTTTAATATAATGTGACATATACATATATAAGTTCTAGTTTATTTTTTCACAGTTTTGGCGATCACAATGTGTACATACTTAGTGCAGCTTAAGAAAAGTATTTCAAAATAAATTCATTTATTTGTCCTGATTTTCAGGGTGCATCGTATGTCTAGGATTTCAGTTTATTTTTGGTAGTTACAGGCCACAATTTCAATGTGGAACAATTATATAATTTGGTATGTTTGTCTTCAAATGTTAATAGCCATCACAGAAAAAAAAATTACAAAGTAGACATCACAGGCTATTTACCTAAGAGTATTTTGACACTTTTGACATAGCCATGACGGAAGCTTAACCCCTTAAGGACCAATGATGAAATGATTCCATCATGGGTCCTTAAGGAGTTAAATAATATATTTAAATAAAAAAAATTCTGCTTGGAGCTTTACATTTTCCCTTTTGTGAAAGCTCTCTGGGAATATATATATAAATATATATATAAACATAAATA